GTTCGTTTTGCAGCTTTCCTCAATGTGAACTTTTCTAGCGGTGAGTTCGTCTGCTGGCATTTTCCAGGATTGGGTGGGGGGTGAGGCGAAGACGGCGGAGGGGCAGTATCCTTGGAGAATATTTCTATAAAAATATATTGAAAAGTCTTGTTTTTCCTCATTAGTGCAGCAAATTTGTCGATTTGATGGTACCAACACTGCCTATAGCTATCAGTGTGGTTGTCCCATGTTAGCGGTATTGCTGGGATTCGCTGGACGCAGCTATACCAAACCCTTCGATGTTGGGACCCATTTGCAGCGAATTTATTTCTCTCCCCTCTATACACACTTCCCCTGTTTTGGCACCCTTCAACATGGATGCTACAAACGGCTTATAAAGGCGCTAGCCATGCTGTGAAGCGAGGGATATTATAAAGTAAGGTAATAAAGGATACTACTTTGAGGCTCCGGTTGGGGGAAGGAGAGGGATTGACTCTGCCAGTCACTGGAGCAGCCATGATTCGTTCACTCATTTCGATGGTAATGGACAATAAGGGAGTTAAACCGGCCCAACAGCTTGCTTCTAAGCAACTCTCGAAAGAGCGAGCGAAGCCAGGCGACAACTTCGCCAATGTCTGGCAGTGTAGCCCCAGTTGAGCTTCTTTTAAATATCCTCATTTATGGGAAAGGGAAGTAGGGTGGTTTATTGTGCGTTTGTTGTGTGGGTAAGGCTGAGGCCTGTTCTGCCGACGTTTGCGTATTGTGCCACAGCATTTGTTAAGCAGTGGAAAGCGATTTTCAGGATGGAACTGCTAAGGAGCTATGCGACGAGCAGCGACGGTGCCTCATCGGACGAGGAGCTGATGCGTCAGCCGGTTAGCCTGGAAAGTTGCAAATCGCTGGCACTAAGTGCCAGGGCCCTGGACGTTGCGCCGATGGTGGCCACCAGAGATGAGGTCGGTGGTGTGCGCCGCGTTGATCCACGCATCCGGGAACTCGATTATAATCCACGATACGAGGAACTCTTCCAACCTCAGGTAGTATCATTTGCTTTTTGTTTCCCTCGGTGAGTTATTGCTTCAGTTGCTGTTGTTCTGTCGTCGTATTCTTTTTCTGGAACACTGCAATTGGCCACTTCTCCATTTTTTATGCGTTTTGTGCTGTGTAACAGCAGTACAAAACGCATATTGTTACGGGTTTGTCTGT